TTGTTGTTGTTGTTGTTGTTAAAAGCCTGCAATGTTTTATGTCCTTAAAATATCGCTTCTTAATGTGGGTTTAATTGTATCACGTATTTACTGCCATCGTGACATCGATCTACTTGTTGTTTGAAACATTTGTTTTCTGTTTATTTCATTCAGTTGTTGATTATTTATTTCAAATTAAAAGTTGAAATTGATTCAAATCTAATGACTTAGTGCGCCCAACATTATTTAAGTTTTTTTCATTGTTGCTTTTAATGTCAGTCAGGGGTTTTTGTTGTTGCTGATTTGTTGTAGATATTTACGTAAAGTTATCGATTATTAAGTTATTTAAATCGATACCAAGGTTTTCTTTATTTTGCAGTAGATTTATCGTCCATTTATTTTTATAATTTGTTTTTATTTTTTATAGTTGCTTCTTTATTTTTTTTTTAGTAATTTCATGATTTTTAATTTATTGTTTATAATAATGTTTATAATTTAATGCTATGCACTAAATTTAATCAATTATTTTGCGTTTATATCTTTTTTTTATATTGATTTTCGAAAAAAAAAAAACGAATTGGAAATAAATGTATTATTTATATAGTAAATATAAGTAGCTAATTAAGTTCAGCTAATCGAAACATAAATTAACCATAAAATGGAAATAAAATGATTGTATAGTTTAAATGTTGATTTTTTTATTGTGGATATTCCAACGTAATCTAATAATCAGAAGATTGGAAGTAATAGTTCTATTCCAGTAACTAACTAACTAACTAACTAACTAACTAACTAACTAACTAACTAACTAACTAACTAACTAACTAACTAACTAACTAACTAACTAACTACTAACTAACTAACTAACTAACTAACTAACTAACTAACTAACTAACTAACTAACTAACTAACTAACTAACTACTAACTAACTACTAACTAACTAACTAACTAACTAACTAACTAACTAACTAACTAACTAACTAACTAACTAACTAACTAACTAACTAACTAACTAACTAACTAACTAACTAACTAACTAACTAACTAACTAACTAACTAACTAACTAACTAACTAACTAACTAACTAACTAACTAACTAACTAACTAACTAACTAACTACTAACTAACTAACTACTAACTAACTAACTAACTAACTAACTAACTAACTAACTAACTAACTAACTACTAACTAACTAACTAACTAACTAACTAACTAACTAACTAACTAACTAACTAACTAACTACTAACTAACTAACTAACTAACTAACTAACTAACTACTAACTAACTAACTAACTAATACTAACTAACTAACTAACTAACTAACTAACTAACTAACTAACTAACTAACTAAACTAACTAACTAACTAACTAACTAACTACTAACTAACTAACTAACTAACTAACTAACTACTAACTAACTACTAACTAACTAACCTAACTAACTAACTAACTAACTAACTAACTAACTAACTACTAACTAACTAACTAACTAACTAACTACTAACTAACTACTACTAACTTAACAATAACTAACTAACTACTAACTAACTAACTAACTAACTAACTAACTAACTACTAACTACCTAACTAACTAACTAACTAACTAACTAACTAACTAACTAACTACTAACTAACTAACTAACTAACTAACTATACTACTAACTACAAACTAAATAACTAACTAAACTAAATACTACTACTAACTAACTAAACTAACTAACTAACTACTAACTAACTAACTAACTAACTAACTATAACTAACTAACTAACTAACTAACTAACTAACTAACTAACTAACTAACTAACTAACTAACTAACTAACTAACTAACTAACTAACTACTAACTAACTAACTAACTAACTAACTAACTACTAACTAACTAACTAACTAACTAACTAACTAACTAACTACTAACTAACTAACTAACTAACTAACTACTACTAACTAACTAACTAACTAACTAACTAACTAACTAACTAACTAACTAACTAACTAACTAACTAACTAACTAACTAACTAACTAACTAACTAACTAACTAACTAACTAACTAACTAACTAACTACTAACTAACTAACTAACTAACTAACTAACTAACTAACTAACTAACTACTAACTAACTAACTAACTAACTAACTAACTAACTAACTAACTAACTAACTAACTAACTAACTAACTAACTAACTAACTAACTACTAACTAACTAACTACTAACTAACTAACTAACTAACTAACTAACTAACTAACTAACTAACTAACTAACTAACTAACTAACTGAACTACTAACTAACTACTAACTAACATACTGAACTAACTACTAACTAACTAACTAACTAACTAACTAACTAACTAACTAACTACTACTAACTAACTAACTACTAACTAACTACTAACTAACTAATAACTAATCTAACTAACTAACTAACTAACTAACTAACTAACTACTAACGAACTAACTAACTACTAACTAACTAACTAACTAACTAACTAACTAACTAACTAACCTAACTAACGAACTAACTAACTAACTAACTAACTAACTAACTAACTAACTAACTAACTAACTACTACTAACTAACTAACAACTAACTAACTACTACTAACTAACCTAACTAACTAACTAACTAACTAACTACTACTAACTAACTAACTAACTAACTAACTAACTAACTAACTAAAACTAACTAACTAACTAACTACTAACTAACGACTAACAACTAACTAACTAACAAACTAAATACTAACTAAATACTAACTAACTACTAACTAACTAAACTAAATACTAACTAAACCCCAACTAACTAACTAACTAACTAACTACTAACTAACTAACTAACTAACTAACTAACTAACTAACTACTAACTAACTAACTAACTAACTAACTAACTAACTAACTAACTAACTAACTAACTAACTAACTAACTAACTAACTAACTAACTAACTAACTAACTAACTAACTAAACTAACTAACTAACTAACTAACTAACTAACTAACTAACTAACTAACTAACTAACTAACTAACTAACTAACTAACTAACTAACTAACTAACTAACTAACTAACTAACTAACTAACTAACTACACTAACTAACTAACTAACTAACTAACTAACTAACTAACTACTAACTAACTAACTAACTAACTAACTACTAACTAACTACTAACTAACTAACTAACTAACTAACTAACTAACTAACTAACTAACTAACTAACTAACTAACTAACTAACTAACTAACTAACTAACTAACTAACTAACTAACTAACTAACTAACTAACTAACTAACTAACTAACTAACTACTAACTAACTAACTAACTAACTAACTAACTAACTAACTAACTAACTACTACTAACTAACTAACTAACGAACTAACTAACTAACTAACTAACTAAACTAACTAACTAACTAACTAACTAACTAACTAACGAACTAACTAACTAACTAACTAACTAACTAACTATAACTAACTAACTAACTAAACTAACTAACTAACTAACTACCTAACTAACTAACTACTAACTAACTAACTAACTAACTACTAACTAACTAACTAACAACTAACTAACTAACTAACCTAACTAACTAACTACTAAACTAACTTAACTACACTAACTAACTAACTAACTAACTAAGCCCTACCAACAGTTCCCTATAATTCTTTAAAATATCGGACCTAATTCATTTGTTTAAGTCTCTCCCATTAACATAAATTTTCGGTTTTCTGTAATGGTCGACGCTGCCTTCTCTCCACACACATGAACCAGTAAACGACCTTGCGATTAAATTACATTGATCATGATGATGGTTGTAATTTCTGAACCTTTACTGGAATGCAACACTTACATGAAGTGAAAGATTAAGTTATACATATTTTCAATTAAGTACCACTCAACTAGGGTGCGCTATATGTACTCATACATATGTATCTAAATTAGGGTTATAACCAAAATTAGGCCCTATTAGACAGTGGTGTTCTCATAACAAACCCCTGTTTCTCGGGTAATTTCGGTGCAAAAACCTTTCGCTGCTAATCGATTTTCTAAAAACATTCACAAACAAATTTACATGTTTTCGTACTAAAATCGGAAGAGGGATTAACCGCAGCCCCTTTTTCTTGCTTTTTCATCGTGTGTCAAACAATGACACTTGTTTATATCAAAAATTCCCGAGCAAAGATCAAATTCTAGCCCGAATGCAATTAAAATACAATTGTTCTCCACTCAACCGTACAACCGTATACGATCTTTAAACAGATCAATTCTGATATTTTCCGATTGAAATGCGATCGTATTTTACATAACTTCTACTAGGATTTTAAACTGGTTTAGTCCTGGTAGACTATAGACTAAAGGCAAATGCGACACATGTCTTTCGAAGAGCATAAACAAATTTAATTTAAACATTGAATTGTTGTAAAGCCAGAGAAGAGCGTAAAGCTGACAGAAGTATAGCTTTACCTCAAGCAAATGTTGGTTTTATTTAAAGTTTTTGGAGGGAACAAAAATACGATTTTGCAGTTGTTTTTGTTATTGTTATTTCTTCCAGCGTTTACAGATGAGCAGAATCCCAACTTCAAGTTAATGATCATTAGTTTAACAAACAATCTACGGACTGATCATTGTCAGTAGTATCTGTTTATCTTTTAGTGCATTTTGTTAAATGTAATTATTTTTGAGTAAAGTTTTATGCTCTTCTCGTGGTAACTCTTGTTACTCGTTTTTGACAAAAAAAAAAAAAAAAAAACACTTTATAGTGTGTGATTTTGTATCGAAATGTTTTTGAAAATATTATACTGTTATGGGTTTCAGTTTCGGTTTTCATACAAGTGGCCGCCACGACTTTATTCGCACTGCAGCAACAAGCACACTGTGTCGAGCTAAATGCTGCCTTTGACGCTGCGTTTGTGACGCCGTCGTAGTCAATGTTTCAGTGTTGTTTTGTGTGTGTTTTTTCGTTGATGTTGTGATGATGATCTTTTTCCAAAATATAAATAGATCCGCTGTGGAGAAATGTGGGTAGTTATATTAGAAGACCTCAACAGAGGTAGACAATTACTGGTGCTAAAGTAAAGTTTAACGCCTTTTAACGCGGCAACAAGGGGAGTTTTAAGCATGAGATCCCTAAATTTATTGGTGGGTGCTGCTGGCAGTGGATTATTTTTAAAAAAAATATATAATAAAATTTATAGAAAAAAAAAACAAACTATAATTTTAAAACAAAAAGATTTTGTTAAAAAATGAAAAATTAAAAATTAAATAATAGTGTAACGGTTAAAATATTTAAAAAAAAAATTTAACAAAAGTGTTATTAAAAAAACAAACAATAATTTAAATTTATGAAAAAATCTATAACAAATTAACAATATCATTTGTTCGCTTTTTTGGCGGTTTTTATTTAAAAAAAAAGTTAAAAGTGTTTAATTTTTAAAAAATTAAAAATTTCATAAAAGTGTTGGCAGAACAAGGACTATTTTTTTAAAAATATTTCAACAAGAATTACTGTTTAAAAAAAGTAGCAAAAACTAAATTTCAAAATTAAATTTTTAAGAAATTTTCTATAATTGAAAACATTTTGTTTTGAAAATTCTTGGTTTTTTTCAAAATTTAAAAAGATTGTGATCGTCAAATGTTAAAAAAAAAATAAAGTTTGAAAATTATTATTTTCAATTTAAGAACTTTCAAAGTTAGTTTTCTGCAAAAGTTTTCAAAATATTGAATTTTTTTAAATTTATATTTTTAAGAAAATTTAAAGAATTTTGTTTTTTTTAAAGATTTTTGAATTACTTTTAAAATATTTAAAATAAAATTTACAATTCGCAATATTTTCAAAATATTTTGAAATTTTCTTAATAATAATTTAAAGTTTTTTGATAAATTTTGAAAATTTTTCTATACAATAGTGCAAAATTTTTAAAATAATTCAAATAGTAAATTTTCTTTGTAAATTTCTTTCAATAAATTTTCGAAATATTACATTTAATAGAGATCAGTTAAGCTCTGAGAACTTTAATAATAACAATAGCAACATGTTGCCCGCAAATATGTGTACAGAAATGTAACATTTCTTAAATTTATTTATTTAAATAAAATTAAACTAAATATGCAATGAAGCAACATGTTGCTAGGAAATCATAAACATTTCTATAACAAAGAATAAAGCCACATGTTGCCAAGAATTATAAGAAAAAATCTCTATAATACTTCAACTAAAAGTATAGAAAAATCTATAAATACTTTTGGTTTAAATGCAAATGTTGCTAGAAAACTTTTTTGAACAACTTGTTGCTGGTATATTACAAACATTTTCTTAACTACAATTGACACAATATATTGACAACAATAGTTAAAGAAAATCTCTATAATACTTCAACTAAAAGTACAGAAAAATCTCTAAATACTTTTGGTTTAAATGCAAATGTTGCTAGAAAACTTTTTAAACAACTTGTTGCTGACATATTACAAACATTTCCTTCAACCACACTCCAACTTAAAGTATAAAAAAACTATTAGATTTAGATGATTGTAGCTAGCAACAAGATTTCATTTAAATATTCTTAGCAACTTGTTGCTAGTAAACATATAAACATTTCCTTAACTAGTACGTTTCAAAAAGAACTAAAATCCCGCTACTTAGAGCCTAAAAAAGTCTTATAAATATTTAAGGTTTAAATGGATTTGCTATAGCAGCTGCTAGCTCAATATGTTGCTAGCAACATAATTTTCATCAAATGTGGTTAACATTTTGTGGGGAAACTTTTCTTATAACATGATTAAAGATTAAACTTTTTCTTTAACAAAATACCTAAAACTTAAGAACAGCAGTAAAATGTTGCTGACAACATGTAGCCAAAAGTTTCAATGAATACCGTTTGTTACCAAAGGAGCTTTAAACACTTTAAATTGCTAGAAAATTTACAAATATTTCCTTCAGTTCAAATAAAACAACATGTTGTCAACAGTTTTAACTGCAAACCTTCATTTAAAAGTTTAGATTTTGTCTCAATATGTTGCCAGAACCTTTAAACAAATACTGTTACTAGGTTATGATACAAATTTTAAATCAAATTTATTTATTTTAACAAAAAACCTTTAAGAGCAGCTAAATAGATTCTTAAACATGTTGCTAACAATATGTAGCCATTAATTCAAATAATTACCATGTTGCCAGCAACATTAATATAATGAAATGATGTTAGGTTCAAGTTGGAAGGCATGTCATACAACAGGCTTTTAAAACAAACTTATTTTCAACAGAAAATCTTAAATCGTACAGTGAAACTAAACATTCAAAATGCTGCCGGCAACATTTAGCCAGTGAATTAAACAAATTTGAAATCTATACTTTTTAAAATATTGGTTTAAAAGAGCTTTAACAGGGTTCATTTTTAGACAATTCTTTAAATAGTTTTCTTTAAACAATACTAGTTTTTTCCCAAAGAAATATGTTGCCAGCAACATATATGTATATACACATGTATATCTCTTATATAACTCTTACAATTCATTCACAGAACAATAAAGATTGTTCTAAATGCAAAAAAAAACATCAAGCTACTGCAACATGTTGCCAGCATATAGTACAGGTTTCTGACATTTCCTTTTTTAAACTGGATTCTATTAAAGTAAAATTTGTTCTAGACGCAAAAAAAACACTGAGTTTAAGTTTAGTATGAACTCTATGACAACAGAAAGCTACTGCAACATGTTGCTAGCATTTAGTACAAGTTTCTGACATTTTCTTTTTTTAACTGGAATCTATTAAAGCCAATTTTTAAAAAGTAAATAACAAATTTCATTTGTTTATAAAATAAATAAATTTGTTTGCTTTAAAAAACTTTAAACAACATGTTGCCAGTCCATGTAACTAAAGAATCTAGCTAATGGAACATGTTGCAAGCTTTTATAGCAACTTTCTGACATTTTCTTTTTAAAATTAAATTCCATTAAAGAAAAATGTTAAAAAATTAAAAAAAAATATATATAATTTGTTTAACTAATAAAGAAATTTGTTTGCAACACTTTAGGCAACATGTTGCCAAGCAGAGTAAGCTAGAGAACCAAGCAACATATAGCAAGTTTACAACAATTTTAATGAAATTAAGAGAAGAAGATAGTTTCATAAGTTACAGATATCTAAAGTGTCAACATTAAACCTAATTTTGTGTTTGTAATGCTCTTAGCAACATGTTGCTGAAAATAGTTTAACAATTATAAACACATTTTAAACTAGTTAATATGATTTCTTTAAAACAATTTCAACATCCTGTGTTTCGTTTTACAAAATTTCACACGATAATTTAGCTCCAAAAAGAAAAAAACAATATAATTTATTTGCGCTTGCCGCCAAAACTATAATAAATATAATTAAAAAACACACTAAAACTAAAAACATATATTTAAAATTATTAACATTTTAAAAATAAACAAAAGCAGCTAAAGAAAGAAAAAAAAACAAAAACCTAACAAGATCCGGTTAAAAATGGATTATAAAACATAATAATTTAAAAATTAACACATAATTTTCTCTCTCTCTCTCTTTCTCTCTTGTTTAGCTCTTGGGTGCCAGTTGTGCTCTCATAGTGAGTTTTGCCTACGCCCATCCTCCCGAGGGTGAATGGAAGAAAAAACTAGTGTGGAAAGAAGATTGGGTACAGGTCTGGAAGACGGTGAAAAAAGAAGCCTGGGAAACTAAATGGAAAAAAGTGCAGGTGCCCATTTGGAAAGAAGTCAAAGTACCCGTTTGGAAAGAAGAAAAAGTACCCGATTGGAAAATAGTAAAGAAACCACATATTGAAGAGCGTGAGGTGCCGGCCTGGAAGGAAGTCAAGGTCCCCGAATGGAAGAAAATCACCAAACCCATATGGAAACAGGTGCAAGTGCCGGTATGGAAGGAGATACAAGTACCCGTATGGAAGGAGATACAAGTGCCAGTATGGCGTGAAGTCAAGGTGCCGGTATGGAAGGAAATACAAGTGCCCGTTTGGAAAGAAGTGCAAGTGCCAGTATGGCGTGAAGTGCAAGTGCCAGACTGGAAGAAAATGTTCGTACCCGAATGGGTTAAAATGGGCATACCCGGCGAAAAGTACTTAGGCAAAGATCACGAAGGCTGGGAATACACCAGTCACGATTTGTGGCGCAAGAAATTAATCTGGAAACCGGTATGGAAGAAAATCTGGCGTACCGAAAAGAAGCAAGAATGGAAGACCGAAAAGAAGCAAGAATGGAAAACCGAAAAAGTACAAGAATGGAAAATCGAAAAGAAACAAGAATGGGAAACCAAAAAAGTGCAAGAATGGAAAACCGAAAAGAAACAAGAATGGAGAACCGACAAAAAACTCGAATGGAAAGTCGAATGGGTGCAAATATGGAAACCAGTGAAAAAACAAATCTGGATTAAGGAGAAACGTGAAACCTGGGTAGAGGAAAAAGTACAAATCTGGCGCACCGAAAAGAAACAAGTCTGGGCCACCGAAAAGAAAGAGGCCTGGAAAGAAGAATGGAAATCAATACAGGTGCCCGTATGGAAAGAAGTTAAAGTACAAGAATGGAAAAAGGTATGGAAGCCAGTATGGGAAAAAGTTTGGGTACCCGCCCCCAGTCATCATGGTTGGGATTGAGTGTCTCTCACCCCCTCCCCCCATACTAGGTAATACTAACTAATGAAAGAATTAAACTTAAAGTTTAACTTATTTAGTAAAGCTTAATGTTTTGCCACAGTACTGAAATCATTTTTTTATTAATAACACACACACACCCATACACTCGTTCTCGAAAACATTTTCTTAAACCCAAAGTACATTTTTTACCCCCCCTTAAAACACCCAACATGCTTCATTAAACATGCATTTAGAAAATTTTTGTTTAACAAAGGTTTATAAACCTTTTTTAAAACCTTATAAACAGCTGTTATAAACTGAATTTTTAAACAGAGTTTTTTAAAAAAGGGCCTAATTTGTTAATCCCCAACCAAATAGTACTTTTTTGTATAAACCAGAAATCTTCAAAATTTTCCAAGAATTTTTGCATAAATTAGTTAAGTTTTTTTTGGATAATTTGTGCATTTAAAAAAACAAACAAACATTTGTTTATAACCTTTGTTGTCATCGATAAACTAGTTTTTGTAACTTTAAACCAAAAACCCAAAACTGTTACATATCCATTGATTAACTAAAATGGTTTGCTTTGTGTTCAAAACCAACAACCTGTTTATCACTCAAATAGTAAAAGATATAAAATTTCTCAATTTTTGTTGAATTTTAAATTTAAACAAAAAATTTTTATTAATTTTTAAGATGACAACAAACAATCAAACAAATTATTATTATTTGTAAAACATTTTGAAGGTCTTTGTTTAGGAAAAAAACCTAAATGGTTAAAACAAAACCCACAAAATCCAAAATCCCACAAAGCTGTTAACGTTATATTATCAAAATTAGTCCAATTTAAATTTTTTTCCAAACTCTGCTTAAAAATTCAGTTAAAATCAATTAACAAAACAACATGTATATGTGCTTTCACGCCTCCAAACATTTTTAGCATTTACAATTTTAAATTTCCTGCACTTCTTTCATTTTAACCAAATTTATTGTTTTTATTTTTAAGTTTTCTTATTGTTTTTTTCGCTCTTCTTTAACTAAGAATTGTTAAAACATTTCTGTTCATATTTTTTTTTTATTATTTTTCTAACTTTTTTTTAGTTTTTAAGTTTGTACAAATTAGTCATTTACTCGATTTTTTCATATGACTGGCTATTCATCAAATAAAAAAAAAGTTATATGGAAAAAATAGAGTTAATTTTACACAAAAAAAATTTATAAATATATTTTGTAAATAATTCATTATAAAATAAGACAAAAAATTATTATAAAAAAAATTGTTAAAACTATTTTTTTAGTTATGTACTTTTTTGTTAAAAAAAATATAATAAACAACATATTTTGAAAAAAAATTTTGTAATTTTTATTTGAAAATAAGAAGAAAATTTTCAACAAACGACCTCCCTATAATTTCTAAACCTATTTGAAAATTTCAGCATCTTTTTCTTCCATCTAATCGTGATTTAAACAGACAGCCAGACAGACTTAGATAGATGGATAGATAGATAGATGGATAGATAGATAGATTGAGAATAGCATAGCATAGATAGATAGATAGATCAGATCGCTAGATAGATAGACTTAGCTAGATAGATAGATAGATCGCATAGCTATAGATCGATGCTAGATTAGCTCGCCTCGATCGCTCGCTCGCTCGATCGCTCGCTCGATCGCTCGCTAGATAGCTCGCTCGCTAGATCGATCGCTCGCTTCGACTCGCTCGTACTAGCGCTCGCTCGCTAGCTCGCTCGCTCGCTCGCTCGCTCGCTCGCTCTCGCTCGCCTCGCTCGCTCGCTCGCTCGCTCGCTCGCTCGCTCGCTCGCTCGCTCGCTCGCTCGCTCTCTCGCTCGCTCGCTCGCTCGCTCGCTCGCCTCGCTCGCTCGCTTCGCTCGCTCGCTCGCTCGCTCGCTCGCTCGCTCGCTCGCTCGCTCGCTCGCTCGCTCGCTCGCTCGCTCGCTAGCTCGCTCGCTCGCTCGCTCGCTCGCTCGCTCGATCGCTCGCTCGCTCGCTCGCATCGCTCGCTCGCTCCTCGCTGCTCGCTGCTCGCTCGCTCGCTCGCTCGCTCGCTCGCTCGCTCCGCTCGCTCGCTCGCTCGCTCGCTCGCTCGCTCGCTCGCACGCTCCTCGCTCGCTCGCTCGCTCGCTCGCTCGCTCGCTCGACTCGCTAGCTCGCTCGCTCGCTCGCTCGCTCGCTCGCTCGCGACTCGCTCGCTCGCTCCTCGCTCGCTGCCCTCCTCGCTCGCTCGCTCGCCTCGCTGCTCGCTCGCTCGCTGCTCGCTCGCTCGCTCGCTCGCTCGCTCGCGCATCGCTCGCTCGCTCGCTCGCTCGCTCGCTCGCCGCTCGCTCGCTCGCTCGCTCGCTCGCTCGCTCGCTCGCTCGCTCGCTCGCTCGCTCGCTCGCTCGCTCGCTCGCTCGCTCGCTCGCTCGCTCGCTCGCTCGCTCGCTCCTCGCTCGCTCGCTCGCTCGCTCGCTCCTCGCTCGCTCGCTCGCTCGCTCGCTCGCTCGCTCGCTCGCTCGCTCGCTCGCTCGCTCTCTGCTCGCTCGCTCGCTCGCTCGCTCGCTCGCTCCTCGCTCGCTCGATCGCTCGCTCGCTCGCTCGCTCGCTCGCTCGCTCGCTCGCTCGCTCGCTCGCTCGCTCGCTGCTCGCTCGCTCGCTCTCTCGCTCGCTCGCTCGCTCCTCGCTCGCTCGCTCGCTCGCTCGCTCGCTCGCTGCTGCTCGCTCGCTCCTCGCTCGCTCGCTAGCTCGCTCGCTCGCTCGCGTCGCTCGCTCGCTCGCTCGCTCGCTCGCTCGCTCGCTCGCTCGCTCGCTCGCTCGCTCGCTCGCTCGCTCGCTCGCTCGCTCGCTCGCTCGCTCCTCGCTCGCTCGCTCGCTCGCTCGCTCGCTCGCTCGCTCGCTCGCTCGCTCGCTCTCTCGCTCGCTGCTCGCTCGCTCGCTCGCTCGCTCGCTCGCTCGCTCGCTCGCTCGCTCGCTCGCTCGCTCGCTCGCTCGCTCGCTCGCTCGCTCGCTCGCTCGCTGCTCGCTCGCTCGCTCTCTCGCTCGCTCGCTCGCTCTCGCTCGCTCGCTCCTCTCCTCGCTCGCTCGCTCGCTCGCTCTCTCGCTCGCTCGCCTCGCTCGCTCGCTCGCTCGCTCGCTCGCTCGCTCGCTCGCTCGCTCGCTCGCGCTCGCTCGCTCTCGCTCGCTCGCTCGCTCGCTCTCTCGCTCGCTCGCTCGCTCTCGCTCGCTCGCTCGCTCGCTCGCTCGCTCGCTCGCTCTCTCGCTCGCTCGCTCGCTCGCTCGCTCGCTCGCCTCGCTCGCTCGCTCGCTCGCTCGCTCGCTCGCTCGCTCGCTCGCTCGCTCTCTCGCTCCGCTCGCTCGCTCGCTCGCTCGCTCGCTCGCTCGCTCTCTCGCTCGCTCGCTCGTCGCTCGCTCGCTCGCTCGCTCGCTCGCTCGCTCGCTCGCTCGCTCGCTCCTCGCTCGCTCGCTCGCTCGCTCGCTGCTCGCTCGCTCGCTCGCTCGCTCTCGCTGCTCGCTCGCTCTCTCGCTCGCTCGCTCGCTCGCTCGCTCGCTCGCTCGCTCGCTCGCTCGCTCTCGCTCGCTCGCTCGCTCGCTCCTCGCTCGCTCGCTCGCTCGCTCGCTCGCTCGCTCGCTCGCTCGCTCGCTCGCTCGCTCGCTCGCTCGCTCGCTCGCTCGCTCGCTCCTCGCTCGCTCGCTCGCTCGCTCGCTCGCTCGTCGCTCTCGCTCGCATAGCCGCTAGATGACCAGCTCAGGTCCCCTAGGTCCGACAGATTCATTGTCTAATATCACCAGAGGTTGCTGAACATTTGACTCGCTTTTACTTACGGCCTACCGTGATTTCAATAGACTTGCAGACAAACGGACTAAATTGTTTTAGAATTTTCCTAAATCAAATTTTATAAGGACCTAGATAAATATACTTATGTGAGTCTACGAGCAATATATTAATGGTCCTACATACAATATCTTCAGCAGTGATTCCTAAAAATTTCACCAACTTCTCCTTCATCCTAATCGTGATTTAAACAGACGGACGGACTAATGGACAGACTGGCGGATATAGCTTGATTGTTTTTGGTCCCTGACAGGCAATCATATAAGGTCCCGGATAAGGAAGCCAGGAAAAGATAATAACTGTTCCAGAATTTATCTATCTACTCCGTTTAATTAGCGTTATTCTGAATCCGTTTATCCAATTTAGTATAGTTGTGTCTGTAGACTTATATATTCAGTCAGAATACGAAGCATCATACTAACCTCGTACATTATTCATTGGGGGGCCCTACACCAGTGATTGTTGACATTTTCAGCACCTTCTATCTCCTTCCGACCTATAGTGATTCACGATTTATGTGAAATTATACATAAGATCTTAAAAAATACACCTTGGCTGTTATGGGGCCTGTTGTGTCCTCATTAGCATGGAAAATAATGTTCGGAAAATACCTGATATAGTGCTCTATGAAAGCATAAACTTCCAATGTTCAAAAACACAGTTTTCATTCCAAGATATTTGAATTAAAATTAAATGAAAGCCTGGCAATGAGAAAGAAACTTCGCGTGCTCTCCATTGGACTGAATTCGTTTCTACAATTTAGCATAGTTGTGCCCGTAACTAGTAGCCTCGGATTTCATTCTGAGTCTTCTCGTTAGGGTCACTCCTTAGGATCTTTGTGGTCCCATCCATTTTTCATTATTCTACTTCGAAGTTTTGCATTCTCTCGTGCATGTTTTTTATTCAGCCCTCGTTGTGTCGAATGACTTTGCAGTCTTTAGGTGAAACTTCTCGAGTCCCCTTGCGTTTATAGCCAGTGGCCTTGGTACTCATATGATGCAAAGCTTAGCTCTGGACGAGTATTCGGTTGAACTCAGGCGAACTGATATACTGAACTCAACTTTATCTCTATTACGTTCAAGTTATTTGTATGTATGACTAGGTGATACTCGATCCAAAGGACAAGTTCTATTGCAAGTGGAACGAACAAAACTTTAAGGTTAGTTTTTAATATTTAAAATCGGGTTTTACAAAATCCGATTGTTTGCTTTTCTTAAAAAAATAATTCTTTACTAATTCACATTTTTTCAAAAATTTTCATTAAAAATCGAAAATTTCACTAAAATCGAAATTTTCACTAAAAACTTATTTTTCACTCACAAACCCTTTTTCAAAAACGTTACATAACACTTAAACTCCTTAAACAAATAACAAGAAAAATTCGTTAAACAACAAAATTAAAAACACGATTTTAAACTATTTTGCCATTAAAATTCCGGCCTTAATTTATCTTAATTCGTTTTTAGGTTCAATTATTTTAGCTTTTTATTAAAACAAACAGAGCGTCTTCGTCTCTTTGTATGGACTTTCATATAAAGACACAAATTAACATGAAGATGTGACACGGAAGTTAGATAAGAAAAAAAAAGCCCACTTGTTGTTTCTTTTTTTTTTCGACACATTCACTTCAGTCTCTTGGAATCACATACAAACGGCAGCTGCTGCTGATGCCACAAAAATCTTCTTCATTAAGAGAAATATTATGTAATACTTATGGATACAATTGGCTACAGGAAACCTCTGACAAAAACAAAAAACATAAACTTGTTGCAAACTTAAAGAAGAAACCAAAAACAAGAAGAGCCTTCATAGCACTTTACACCAACTGCCAAAATTCATGCAATTTTAATTTAATACAATAAACAATAAACATAAAACCCAAAAAAACTTGTAACTTAAGCTAAAAATAAAACTTATTGAATTATATTTTTTATATATTTGTTTCTTTCTGATCAACAAACAACAACAACAACATCATCATTATCATCTTCTTTTAATGCTGTTTACTAGTCCCCTTAACCGTCCGTCCGTCCATTTGCCGGTCTGCCTGGTTGGGTTTTTAGTTGCCGCCACCACCACTATCACCACCAGCACTTGGGTTTTTGTGACCGTGTATCATGTATTTATACAACAAGTAGTTAACATTCAAACTTATTTTTTGCCGATTTTTTGCAAAAAATTTACAAATAACTAAAAATCTCAAGGAAACATTTCGATACATGGGCAATAAAAACAACAACCAAGAAAACCAATGGCAAATACCATCTTTTTTTCATTGCAGCTTTTTTATTTAACATTTAATTTCCTACAAAAACTGTAAAGCCTACATTCATACATCCATTCATCCATCCGTCCATCCAGCCAGTAGTGCACTTCTTTTTGGTGTGTTTATGTGTAAATTGAGATCTTTTTTGTACTTTTTTTAACTGAAGACGAAGGTAAAGTAATGATGACGATCATTATGATGTTGATATTGCACCATTGCAGTGTTTTAGGAGGATGTTTACATTAAAC